TGTCATAGGTTAAGCACCACACAGTGCACTTACACTAGCCTAGACGGCATAGCTTACCGCACACCTAGGCTGTACCATACAGCCCACTGCTCTGCCAGTTCTCCCTGGCCAGGAATTTTTCTTTACAATCAGCTTGTGTAGTTTCCAGAAGTCTTCAGGTGTCTTCATGCCAGCACTATGGACTCACTACTATTTCACATCATGGAATGCGTAACAGTTCAATTGTTCAAACCACTCAGAGGTGGCAGTAAGTTCAACAGTGTGGTCAGATCAAGTCTTTTCTTTCAACGGCACAAACTTTGCAGTGGCTGTGACCGTATGGTGTGGGGAAGGGCTAGGCTGATGGGTCTACTCTTCAATCCAGGTCACTGTATGCTTCTCTACATCTAGTTGCGGCCTCTGTCAAATTTTAGTCTTGCTGCGTTCAGTGAAGTAGATCCTTGAACAGTTCTGTTCTCATTCTTTAAGCTCTGGCTATGGTAGAACGGGACACACCTGAATGGCGAGCAATAACCATGACTAATTTTCCACCTTTGCAGTCTTTAAACAGTTTTTGTTCCCAGGCAATTCACTCTATTAGCGGTGGATGGTAGGGGCCACGATGAGCGAACCAATGTGAGATGGACTCATGCACACAAGGGTATAAAATGATCACGAGACAGCGTGAACACAAGATGTGTGAGACTGCTACTGCGGCAACATGGCTTCTGCTTCACGCTGTCAGGGTACGTACTAACACAATGATAAAAATATACACATAAAGCAGTCGCAGGCGTTTATTGTCAAGTGTTAGGTACTACATGTAACTGTGTGTGCACAGTAAGTTCATTTACACCAGTATCACCATAAACACGTATTATGCTGTGCTCCCACAGCATGACGGCTACAGTTATGTCAACAGACAGTGTGAGGTTTTCAGCACCGCTATAATCTATTGGGACCTCTGTCGTATATGTGGTTCACCCTTGATTAAAGCATTGTCACATGGCTGAGCTATAGCTCAGTGGTGGAGTGGATGCCTGCCAAAGAACCAAAGCAAACCTAAACAAAAAACCCCACCTTGCTATGAGGCACGTGGCTGTATTTTATTGGTTTCTCCTGCCATGTGCCAATTTCCTCCTTTTATAACTACAGTCTTTCTAGAGTATTTTTCTATTCGTTTAGAGTCACTTCAAAGATCTTTTAATGCTCTGATATTTTTGCTTCTTTTACTTCCCTAAGTAAGTCTTTATTAGTATTTTTAATATAACAATTAAAAATTTTATAATTGCACAAGATTATATTTTAATGCCATTAACTATAAATTAAATGCCACTATAGTACTGGTATACAAAAGATCCATTTTATTTTTTCTCCCATAGTCTAAAATTTAATTTTTTTTTTCTTGTTATATAGTTCAGGCGAGTTTTTCAACTACGTAGCCCAGACTAACCACATGGTGATGATCTTCCTGCCCCAGCCTCCCAAGTGTTGGGATTACAGGTGTGCGCCACGTCTGGCTAACTGGCTAAAGTTTTAAACATACAGTATGCCTAAAGTAACAATTCTGAGAATTTTTATAAGTCGAGTGATTTCTTTTTCAGTAAAATACCTTTAAGGATTATTATTTTTCTAGCTTTATTTTAAAAAATGCAATGCTTCCAGAATTTGTGTATCATTGGTAGTACATACATCAAAATCCAGCAATACAGAGATTAGCATGGGCCCTGTGTAAGGATTATTAGTTCAGCTTTACACCAAGAAAAAATTTTTCTTTTTAACTGAGATTTCATTTAATTTATTAATTTAGAAAGAAATGACAATTTGATATTGAAATGCCAACCAAGAACAGTGGATGTCTCTCCATCTGATCTGTGCCTTTTAGGAATATTTACATTTGCTTATCCTGGATTTTCATATATATACATATACATACATATACATATGTGTGTGTGTGTATATATATATATTTCATGTACTGGGGATTGAACCCAGGACCTCCACATCAAGTTACATCTCTAGTCTTTATTTATTTAGTGGTGCTGGGGATTGAACCCAGGGCTTTCTGCATGTAAGGCAAGAACTCCACCACGGAACTATATCCCAAGCCCCTCCAGTCTTTTTTTAAATTTTGAGACAAAGGTCAACTAATTCCTAAAATGCCTGGGCTGGAACTTGCATCCTCCTGCCTCAGCTTCTCAGAATGCTGCGATTACCAGCACATGCCACCATGCCCAGCTAACACCTGGTTTTTTAACAGTTCTTATTAAAAAGTGAACCCTTAGGAATTAAAGGTACCTTGTTGTTCCAATTGTAAATGTGATTTTCTTTTTTGTTGTATCAACTGGCTTTTATGTACATACAAGTTATTTTATGTCCTATCTCAATTATTACTGTTTTTAGAGACAGGGTTTCACTGTGTAACTCAGACTGGCCTTGAACTCACAGCAATCCTCCTGCCTCAGCCTCTCAGTGCTGGGATCATAGGCACAGGCACAGGTCACCACGCCTGGCCTCACTCAATTATTTTAGGATAATTTTGCCATCAACTTTTCAGATAATCATGTCACCAACAAAGCAAATTTTATTTCTTCTTTTTTCCATTATTATGCCTGCAATCGTTTTTGATTTTTTAATCTGTATGGGCTCAAGGGCATCCTTCTCTGTGCTTGATGTTTCTATTAATGAAGATGTTAGTTTTGGCTGTAGCTGTAGCTCAGTGGTAGAGTGTGTGTCTAATGTGTGGGTTTGATTCCCAGCACTGGGGGTGTGGGGAAAGATGATGGCTTTAGGATTAGGGTACTTATTTATTAAAGTAAAATGATGTCAAAGAAGTACTATCCACTCCTGTTTTCTCAAAGTTTTAATTTCATCAGACTTTTTAAAGGACCTACAATCTTTCTTTTTGGACCTATTAATATGATAAATTATATAAATTTCCAAATATGGAAGCACCCTTGTGTCCTTAGAATAAACTCACTTTATTAAGATGTATTTCCTTAACATGATATAAGGGTTTGCATAATACTTAGGGTTTTGTAACAATATTAAGTAGTGTTTTCTTGTAATTTTCATTTCTTTGAGCTCTTTTTGTCAGGTTTAGAAATCATTATTCCTGCTTTATAAAAGTAATTTTTTTTCTTGTTCTATATTCTGGTATCTTGGGAATATTTGTTTTTTCAGGTCAAATTCCCCTTGGCCTTATTTTTTTTCTTTTTCTCAACCTTGGCTAAACTAGTAGTTTCTTTTGTGAATTTTCTCCCAAAGATCCAGGATTGATTCATCAATTAGATACATAGTTTTTCTTTTATTTCTACTTTTACCTTTATTATTTCCTTTTCTGTGTTCATTTTTTGGCCTACTATGTTTTCATTTCTGAGTTAAGAATTTAGTTTCACTGATATAGATGTTTAGGGCTATGAATTTTCCTCTGCTTACTGCTTTAAATGTATTCCAGAGTATAATCTATATTATCATTGTCATTATTCTTAGGAATTCTGCAATCTACTTGCATTCCCCTTTTACCCCAGTTAAGCCATTTAAAACTGAGGCACACTCTGGAATGTTTATCAAGAGACAGGACTTCTTTACACCCAAAAGCTCCTTTGTGTCTTTCCTGGTCACTCCTTTACTTCTCCCAGAGCTCCCTCAGCTTATGCACACAGAGGATAAGTTTCCATCACATGCAATGCTTTGCACCAGAAGGCTAAGTCTCAGTTTTTTTTGGATACATTCCTAAAATGGCAGCTGCTGGGTCAGATGATACAGGTGATTATGCCTCATCTGAAAAGCATGGAAATGTGTTTCAGATTTTGGAACATTCGCATGCATATATGCATATAGCTATCTCCTGGAGATAGACCTAAGCCTAAGCACAAAATACATTTAGGTTTCATTTATACTTTACTCATGAAAGTCACTTTAGTGCACCTGTTTTTTTACTGGCTCATCACATGACGCCAGATGTGAATTTCCCCTTGTAGCCTCAGGTTTGTACTCATGAGTTTTTGAATGCTGGAGCACTTCAGATCTTGGACTTTCAGATTAGAGATGTTTAATTCATCTTTAAGATCATATATAAGTAGAATAAGATGTATTAACATTTTTGTGTCTGATTTCTTTTATTCTGCATAGCATATGTGAGATTCACCCATGTTACCACTACACATATGAATGGTTCATGGCTTTTATTGCCGATTATCCCACCTCAATGAACTACTTAATTCTTACTCTCTTCAGTTTTTTTTTAACTTCATGAATAAAGCTACCATGAACAGTCTTAAGCATGGTTTTCTGTGAACACAAATACTAGTCCTGTTTTTTTTCTTTTTTTTTTTTTTGGTAAGGGAAATGTTCCAAATCTCCCAGTGGATGCCTGAAATCAAGGATATATACATAAGCTGTTTTTCTTTTTCTACTTTGTATTATTCTATGATAAACAGATTAACAATGATGGCATTTTAACAATATACAGTAGTAAAAGCTCTCTCTCAAAGAATCTTATCCTACTGTACTAACTGTTCTGTGGTGATGCAAGTTTTCTATGCTGGGCTGAAGTGAGGTGACTGATGTAGACTTAAGGCTGCTATATAAGGGTGTCTGAACACAAGGATTGTGATGCCTTGCCAGTCAATCTGATGACTTGGAGAGCTAATAAGGAACAAGCGGGTACACGGCATGGATGAGGGGGACCAAAGTGATTCAGGACCCGGCAGGGCAGTGCAAGATGCTCTGAACTAAAGTGTCTTCTCAAACCGTGTATCTGAATGTTATATGCACGTGATCAAAATGTGCAAAGAAAGAATTAACAGATTCTCTTTGATGACTGGAATGAGGAGGTAGGGGCCTATTTCGCTCTTTTCCTCCCACTACCAGGATGAAAAGCACAGCTGGGCTAGTGATAAATCCAAATTCCTACATTTTTGGGACCAACTTCTGCTTCCACCTCTGTTATAACTCTAGATGCAACCATTACTTGGGTCTCAGTATCCCTTTCTTCTAAATAAAGAAAACACACTTACCACACAGGAAGGATGTATGATAAAATAAAATAGTTCACATGAATGGACTTTCAGTTCTTCAGAAGAAAGTTAGGACTCCTTAAGTATGAACCTGAAGAGCTAATTAAAAATAAGATGACCATGTCAAAATTATGAAACACACAGTGATCTAGTCTTTAAGATCAATACTACTAGGGCTAGTTTAAAAAAAATTGATGATAATGACCTTTTATTCTTTTCCTTTTTTTGGTGCTGGAGATTGAACGCAGGCCTTGTGCATGTTAAGCACATGCTCTACTACTGAGGTAAACTCTCAGCTCAAGTCAATTTTCAAACCCAAATTACAGAACTCAGATTCAACCTAGATCTGTAGTAATTATGGCTCGAAAAATCAAACACTTATTAAGATTAATATACAGAATGTAAGTTGATACACTATTCAGTGTCATGCCAACTTGCTGTATCTTTAAATACATCGGTATCAAATGATGACATGCTCTTCGCATTCTTTTTTTGTCCCAGTCCTGGTTTTGAACTCAGGGTTCACACATACTAGGTAAATGCTCTATACTTCCCCACTCCCCCAAGTATTTTTAAAAAGAACACACTGGCAATGCAGATTAGCTTTAGAGTGCTTGTCTACCACAAGGCCCTGGGGTCTATCTCCAGTACGGCCAACAAAAGACACACACAGACACACACACACACACACACACACACAGCTTATATCTGCAACTGGGTGTTCTAACAATATAAAGTCACCAAACAATAATAACTGGAATATTGATTAAAACTGAGTTACATACATATGGTGGTATACCGGTTCATGAACTTAATTCTTTCCACGATTCTGGCTGGAGAATTTGTTTCACGATTACTTACAGTACATATATGTTTGCAATTCATTTGCAACCAGAATCGTGCAAAAAATGAAGTTTCTGAACTGAGGCGCCACTGTATACCTACGCAAGGGGGATGGACATTTCGCTGGTACACAGATTCATCTGCAACTAGCAAATGCAAGTTTTGACGTCTAAAAGTAAAGTAATGGGAGATTTAACCAATATTTATTGAACAATATATATAAGCCATTATCTAAGAAGTAGAAATACAGAAAGTATTAGACTTAGTAGGCTCACCCTGTAACGTAACTGCAAATGGCCAAATAATTAGGCCATAAAGACTGAATAAATAATGAATACTAGATATGACTAGTTTTATTAGGAGCAGGGGTTAGATATTACAGTGAAGAAGGAGAAAAAGGGATTCAGGAAGGACGTCTTAACATTTTAATTATCATTTACTCAACAGCTGACATCTGAGTGCAGGTTTACAGATAGATGCCTCAGGAGGGAGAGAGGGCTGATGCTCATCCTGTATTTCAGGTGAGGAGAATGAAGCTGAAAGAGATTAGGCAACTTGTCTAAGATCATAGGTGAGGAGGTGGCAGAGCCAGAGCCTAACCAGTTTGCCAGCTTTGTCCAGTGCTTACTTGCGCTACCATGTTTTAACTTATAGACACTAACCAGAGAACTAGATTGGGACAGGATCCTGTTTTGCAGTTCTATGGTGTAGTCAGGGGCAGAATCACAGCCTCAACCTTCTCTGCCAGTGCCACTGTCATCGTGTCACTTCAGCCTACCCCACAGGTGGGCTCTGTTCAAATGGAATTACTGCCTTTTCATCTTTCTTGAAGATCCCAGCAAACCAAGAGAAATTCTGAATTTACAAGGGGAAAAAAATCCTTTAAAAAGTATTTATTAAAAACCAGTAAGATCTAAAACACTCTAATTTTTACATAAAATCAAACATTGTCTTGGACAGTTAAGAATAGCCTCGTGTTAAGTCCTTTCTCTTCTACTCTCCTTTTGATTTTCTCTCTCAGATTTGAAACCTTGAGACTTAAGACATGTATTGTCTTACTTTCCATTACAGATGTGAAAAGTTAAAAAATCTTATCCAGTAAACATTTAAAAATGAAGGAGTGAAAAATAAGGATCAACCAAAGGATAATGACTTTTCTAATTTCAGAACGTGGCTACTCAGAAAACAGAGACCTTCTGGTTTTCAGTAGTTTACTATTTATGACAATATGCTTTTTTCACCAATAAACTATAATTTTACCTTTGACTACTGTGTTCTGTTTTAAAACAGTTTCAAATAAACTTTTATTTTTGATTTCTAAAATAATTAAGAGACTAGATAGAGGCAGTATCTGAGTACCTAGCCAGAATTAGGTAATTAGGTCAACTTATTACCAGCCATAAAAAAGAAAGCGATGTCTTCCTTTAATAATAAAACCAGTTGTTCCTGTCCAGTATGTTTATAACGCGAATCCTCCCAAAGTCAGTCAACTTATGTCATGACAATTCACACTCAAGCAAGAAAACGACTGGGAACTCAAATATAATTAAAACTTAAGGGGGCTGGGGGTTTAGCTCAGCGGCAAAGCGCCTGCCTGGCAAGTGCAAGGTCGTGAGTTCGGTTCCGGTACCAGAGAAAAACCAAAAAAAAAACAAAAAAAACAAACTTAAGACACAATTATACAACCTAATTTTTTCGAAATCTAAAATTTTTTTTGAAAATTAATTCCATGTTAAATTCTAATGACTAGATTAAGGTAAAGTATTACTTATCCAAGTTTATAGAAAGTTAGTAAAAACATACTCCAACGTAAGATACGATAAACAGATACTTATTCAAGACAGATTTTGCCATAACTTGCAAGGTATCCACAAGCCTTGAGTATAGGGTTCTACATAAATAGAAGCTACTTGTTATTCAGAGGTGGTGGTGAAGAAAAAGACAGCTATTTTCTTTCTAAATACTCTTTGGTGTTGAGGTAAACAAATGAAAAATAACAGCCTAAGCACACATGAGCAAAGCAACAGTTTCTTAAATCACAGGAGAGAGGAGAAAAAATGTCTGTGGTCCAACATTTTAAACAGGAGGTTGAGCGTTTAAGGTAAAATTTATTCACTGGCTTTCAGACCAGCTGCATTACTTCTACATTATGTCTGTACTCCCACTTCACCATATTAGGAAGAGGAAAATATGTGCCCCCAAGATTCTTATGCCAAGGAAACCATCGCAGGCAGCACAGATCCCTAAGTGAAAGAGCACATTAGAAAAACACTGAGTAACTGTACCTATCTGAAATTGAACTGCCGAGTAATAAATACTGGTACGTATTAATATAGGAAGCATTAGAAATACTGCAAACTCTAAGCAGGTATTAAAGTGTTGTGGACAGTTCCAACTCTCAAAACAAGGCAGTGTTAAAAAAGTAAAGCTTTCACGAAGAGGGGCCCGCGGAGAGGGTGGAGTCTGCGAGGAGCACAGGTGAAATGATGGGGAGAGTAGGAGTTCTGCTCATCCCTCTACCAGCTGAGGCTTCTACCAGCTTCAGTACAGTCCCCAGGAGGCAATTTTACGCATCCTTAGGGACCCTGATTTCGGCAACAAGCAGACGTGCTTTGTGACTGCACCACACGGATGCTCCTGAGGTTTCTAACCACAGAGGGGGGCACTAACAGAAAACAGCCCCTAAACCCTCAGCTTGCAGTTCCCTGGCTTCCCGCAGGCCAGTTCCAAGCCTCTTTAGCCAGGTCGCCGGCACTTCTGAGATTGACCCAGCGGAGTTTTTCAGCCGGCCTTCACTATCTTTCAAATCCTCCCTCCTTCCTCCACTTCCCTGCTGTTCTTTCCTGGCCCACAAAATATAGGCCAATGAGCAGTGGGTGGGTGAGGAGGATGTGAGAGAAAATTTTGAGAAGTAAAAGAAAAAAAAAAAGGAGCAACCTAACCAGGACGTGAATGAGACTGCGGGTCTAACAAGGGCAGACAAGCAACAAACGCGCTGAAAAACACAAGGGGCTTTCCTGAGCCGTGGCGAGCGATCAGTGTTGGCAGGGGTGTTAAGGAGAGGCGGGACTACCTACCACTTGTCAGAGGCTGCAGAGGGGACGGTTGTTTTGGGTGGGTGACCTCTAATGTCTCTTCCGACTCTGAAACGTTAGGATTTTTATTTCACAAAAGAGAAGGCAATGGTCGCAGAAGCCCTTCCCAGCCAGCGCCGAGGAGGCTGCTTCCCAAACACCACTCCCACCTCTCCCTCCCACACGTGCCCACCCCGCCCCCTTTCAATATTTCCACCTCCACGTGCAAAATGCCTCGCGGCGCTGGCCCCCAACCCGACGGGCAGCTCGTCCAGCCAAGCACCCCGACTCTGCCCACTCCCTATCCCCACCCCCAGGGAAGTGGCTCCACTTTCCCACCCTGGGCGGCTAAAAAAGGAAAAGTCTCGGATCCAGCCTTTCTCCTGAGCCAGAGCGGGGGTGGGGGACACCGAGAAAAACTTTCTGCTCCATTTTTTTTCCCCTTCACAGAGTGGAAGCGGGGTAGCGAGAGACCCTGGCGAGTCCGGGGCTGAGGGGTGGGGGGAGGGGAACCCCTGAATCGTTTAACGGCCGGTAGGGGGAGGGGGTTCCGGAGGTGGAGGGGGCGTGAGATGGAGAAGCAGGCCGGGCAGCGGGGTCAGGGAGCTGCGGGGTTGCTGGGATCAGGGAGCTGCAGGCGTCCCCCCCGCCTGGCACACAAAGCGGCTGCCGCGCTCGGGTCTCACCAGATCCTTTGTGTTTTCCATCAGGGCCTCATGGGTAGGGGTTGTCCGTGCTCCCCGAGCCCGCGGCGCCCCCTCCCCGAGCGGGGGGCAGGCGCCTCTCCCCGGGACTGCGGCGACTATAGGGGGGGCCCCGGCTTGGCTCACACGGGTGGCAGCTGCGGCAGCCCCCGGATTTCCCCCCTTTAACTCGGGTGGCCCCAGGATATCAACAACATTAGCATAGCCCTCCCTCCCCACCGCGCCTGCGCCGTGACCCGCGCCCCGATTGGCCCACTTCCCTACATACCCTCCTCTCTCTCCTCCAGCGTGGGACCCTCTGCAGGCTCCGTACGCTACGGACCGTACCAAGGCGAAGGGAGGAAAAAGTAACCCGGGCTCGGGATAAGCCGAGGGGATAAAAAGTCAGAAGGAAGAGTACAAGTCGCCTTTCAGTCGCCCCCGTCTGTAGTCTGGCTTTCTTGCGCTCTCTTTCGATGTGTTGCGGCTGCGAAGTTATGTTGGGAAAATTTTCCACTCCAGTCACGCCGCTGCCCCCTACACCCGGAAGATTGGCCCTCCCTGAGGAACTCCCACACGGGGAGGGGCCGGCGAGGGGAGTGGGAGTGACGTAGCGCGTGAGTATTGGTCACGTGGCCAGAAGCTGCGCAGACTCCTTCCGGCCCCTTGAGGCTTCAGTGGCGGCGGCGAGCGAGGCTCCCTGGCGCATGCGCAGTGAGGCTCCACGTGAGCGCCTGCGTATCTTCTCAAACCTAACGATGCCGCCCGAACGGAGAAGCCGAACGAAACCGGACCGGAGAGCTGGCGCGAGGCGGGGCCCGCAGGCCCAGATGAAGCCGGACCGGAGATCCAGAGCGGGGTCGGACGGGCCGCCCCCAAAGGCTGCCCCTTCATCCCAGCGGACAGTGCCGGCCCGGCCGAGCGCGGCGACCGCTGCGAGCCCAGTCGCGGCGGCGACGGCGGAGGAGCGACGTCTCCGGCTGCAGAACCGCTTGACGCTGGAGGAGGACAAACCGGCCGTGGAGCGGTGCCTGGAGGAGCTGGTGTTCGGCGACTTCGAGGGCGACGAGGACGCGCTGCTGCGGCGGCTGCGGGGCGCGCGGGTGAGGGAGGCCTGGGCGCGGGCCGG